CACCCCGCGCACCCCTTCCCCGCTGCCAGGCCCAGCCCTGGCGGCCGCTGCCCCCACCCCCGGTGCCGCCCAGCCCCGCGCTCTGCGCCTCGGAAAGCGGGGTGTCCTTTGCTCCCCTTCATCCCCTTGGCAACCTCCGGATGCCCCCCCGCGCCCCATTTCTTTCATTTCGCCCCCTGCGCCCCTCGGCGTTTTCAGATCCTACGCCTTTGCCTGCCCAGTCTGGACCAGATGGGCCGTGCTCGCCTCTAGTCGCCCAGGACGCCCCCATTTCCACCTCTAGACACCCCTTGGCGCCCCCACTTTCTACCTCTAGATGCCTCTTGGTGCCTTTTGGTTACCGCGCGCCACTGGTTTGCTCCATCCCCTCCTTTCTCACCCCTGCTCTTCTGTCCACGCCGGGCTTTGTCCTGTCCATTCCCACCGGATATGCCCCAACCTCCCTCCCCATCCTCACAGTCCCTTGGGTAATCCTTGCCCCTCTCCCCCTGTGCCCACTCATGTCAAGTTCCCCTGGCTCACCCAGCACCCGCATGTCCCTCCCGTTCCCGGTCACTGTCCGTCCTTTGCTCCCCTCCATCCTGTGCTGCCAAGATCAGGCTCCCCTCTCTGGGTGTAATTACCGGGGAGAGCCTAAAGCCCCTCCTCCTTCCCCACATTTCACTCCTGATCTCAGGGTTCAGAGGTGCTGTAAGTCCCCTGCCTCGCAGGTCACCCACATCCCATTTGCAAAATCAAAAGGGTGGCTACTTTTTACTTTTGGAGAGTCCCAGAGGACTGGCTCCTCGGGGGACCTCATTGGCCTTATTGGGTACCTGTAGGTGCCCTGGTCCCCAAGGATGTCAGAGAATGCGGCAGTGAGCTGCACCAATTCCACTCCCGGGAGTTTCAAGTGTAGTGGCAGAAGCAGATCCTAGGTGAGGATTGAGACATACGGAGTCGGTCTATGAACAAAATCAAGGAGAATGTGTGGAAGCCTGTGGGCCGAGGCTGTCTTAGGCGGGTTGGGGGTGGGGGGTCAGTAGCTTTGGTGAATGGACATTTGCTCCCAGTTCTGAGCTGGAATGCATAGAGAGAGGGGCCTAGGTAGGGGGAAGGGACTGTGACTGCCAAGCTGGGCAATGTTGGTAAAAGAGAATCCAGTCGGGTTTCATCCACACAAATGGACGTGGAGGATTGGTATAGAACGGCCGAGAGGCAAGTGAAGTTTGTAATACAGCACCAGCCACAGGGAAAGTAAAGCTTGTCCCTGGGGGTTTATCCTCATTTCTCTTATTGAGACCCTATGCTAGGCCAAAAGGAGGCTCTGTGAAAATCCAGTGTGGCCTTAGGTTGCTAAATGAGTGCTTTAGAACTGTTTGTAATTTTTTATTCATTTGTGTATTTATTTTTGTGCAACCCAGGCGTTTGAACTTGGGACCTGGGTGCTGTCCCTAAGTTTTTTGTTTGTTTGTTTGTTTTGCCAAGGCTGCCATTTCAGCCTCAGTTTTACATCCAACTTTTTGGTGGTTAATTGGAGATAAGAGTCTCATGGACTTTCCTTCCCAGGCTGGCTTTGAACCACTATCCTCACATCTCGGCCTCCTGAGTAACTAGGATTATGGGTGAGAGCCATCTATACCAGGCTAAAGCTGCTTTTAATTTTGAAGACAGAGATTATATCAGAGAGTTATGGCAAGAGACAATTTGGCTTAGAGAACCAAACTGATCTGGGTGGGAGGGGGAGGGGATTTTAGTAGGCAGACTGCTCTGTATTTAGAAAATTAATAGCTCGTGCATATTCATTGCTAAGTAAGAAAGAATGAAAACAAATTAAACATGCAGTTAGGAAAAGGACATTAAAATAACCCAAGTAAAGAAAAGAAGTTGGACAAGTAAACAAGACACAGAACCAAGATAAGACTAAAAATAAAAGGCAGGACATGTTCCAGTGAAGCAATACTAGCGAACACGGTGGGGGGAAATTGCTTCTAATCTCCAATGCTGGAAATATTTGAGCTTTCAGCACCAAAAGACACTTGAAAATAAATGCTTTGGAAATCTGGCTTGGAAATAAATGAATCTGAACAATAACAACCAAGCCCCGAGGAGTCCACCATTTCATGAAGTAGGAGAAGCTAAGTGTGGGTGCACACCCTCCCCTGTCCTACAGAACACCAACCAATGTTGGTTTTGCCAAAGGTTGTTGATCACAAATGAGTCAGTGATTGCCAAACTGGAAAATCACCTGGCAACCGTGCCTAGCAGAGTCATTTCATCACACAAAGGCATTTGTGTGGGTCTTTGCTTCACTGTTTAATTTGCTCCAATGGTAATGACAGAATTCAAAATTAACACAAATCTTAATTTAGTGTGTATGTGTGTGTGTGTGTGTGTGTGCGTGCGTGTGTGTGTGTGTGTGTGTGTGTGCTGGTATCAGGCCTTCAACTCAAGGCCTCACACAATCCTTCTCAGCTTTTTTTGCACACAGCTGGTACTCTACCATGTAAGCCACACCTCCAGTCCAACTTTTTAGTTAATTGGAGATAGTGTCATGGACTTTTCTTCCAGGCCTGTAACCTCCATCCTTTGATCTCAGCCTTCTGATTAGCTACGATTACAGATGTGAGCCACCAGCGTCCATTCTGATTTTTAATATAGCAGGGACCTCAAACTATATATAACTAAATGTTTATACAGATTTCACTTGAATCAAATGAAATTCAGATGAATGCTGTGCATTGTAGGCCTTCAATAAATGTATGTTGGTTAAATGCTAAGAATTACTGTTTTGTCTCCCTGACAATATTTGACACCTTTAGAATTGGGGGGGGGGTGATTACAAGCACTTGTTACAGGCTGAATTACATCTTCTCAAAAAATATGTGGAGGTATTGGGACTACCCAGAATCTTCCTGAGGAAAGGGACTTGACTAAAACTATTACAGAAGAGAAAGACAGGGAGAGAATTCTTGATTTGACTCCAGAAATGAACATCAGGATGATTCCATTTGTCTGGGGATATCTTTGAGATTCAGGTCTACACTGGTTTTCTTTCTACTAACCTCTGGCCACTTAATTACTTGCTTTGACTTTTACCCCTATGATCTTTTCCAAGGTTCTTGCTCCTGGACTCTTAACTGATGATTCTTGTCCCTGTTTAGGGTCTTGAAGTGATAAGAAAGGCAAGCTACATGGCACATGATGACTTACTATGATTCTGTAGGCACATGCTTTATGCTCTTGTTGATGCTGTATCATGGGTTTTCTTTAAGGCAGGGCTTTTTAACAGGGCTGTTGTTTTTTTGTGGGGTTTCTTTGTGAGGTTAGGATATAACCACAGAACAGAACAGTTCTCTGTGATGTCTTTCAAGAAGGTCAGAGTTGTATGTCAAGAATGAATGTTCCGTAGAAGCACTCTTTTTTCTTTTTTAACCCATTAGGTACTTTTTTTTCCTTTCTATTTTCTCTTCCTTGCCCTCTCTATTCTAAGTCTTCAAGGCTGTCTATAACAACCTTTGAAGTCTAGGGTGGAGGAAGCTATGCTCCCCAGTTCTGGAAAACAGCAAACCTGCAGGGTGGATACCATGCCATCATTGACCACTTTCATCTTCTAGGACAGTGGCCTGTGCTGTGCCTGGAGCCACAAGAGGAACAGCTGAAGAACACAGGCTGGAATGCAGGGAGCAGAGTCATGACATGGCCCTGGGCAGGGAGCCAGGAAACTTCCACCCCAAGGGCCTGAGCTCAGTGAACCTGCTGGGGGAGGGGCACTGGTCATTGAAAGGCCTTGAGGTCATTCTCCTATTGCTTTGATCACTAGCACCCAACTTCCTTCTATTCATAGGAGGCCTCTTGGCCAACATCCTTGTTCTTTACTCCTAGGTATGCTTCTTCAATTCTTTATATGGCTAGCCTGAGGATTTTCCTACTTTTCCCTGCTCTACCTCTTTTTGAAAAGATAAATCCCATGTGTAAAGCTCATCATGTACAAGCGGCTGATACCTGTAAATCCTAGCTACTCTGGAGGCTGAGGTCTGAGGGTCATGGTTCGAAGGGAGCTCAGGCAGGAAAGTTTGGAAGACACCCAAAAGCTAGAGAATGGAGTTCAAGTGGCAGAGTGCTGGCTTTTTTTTTTAACTGTATTTTTTTTGTCTTTTCTTTTTTGGTACTGGGGATCGAACCCAGGACGTTGCGCTTGCTAGGCAAGTGCTTTGCCACTGAGCTACATCCCAGCCCAGAGTGCTGGCTTTGAGAAAGAAAACAAAAGCTAAAGAACAGTGCCCAGTCCCAGAGTTCGAGCTCTAGTATCAGCACCTCACCCCTCTGCAACACACACATACACATATACACACAATTCCAGGGGTAGCTTACTTTATCTTGCATTTTAATAGATGCAATTGAAAGAAGCTTCTAGCACCTGTAATGCTATCTACTCAGGAGTCTAGAGAGAAAGGATCTCAGTTGGAGGCCAGCCTATCCAGAAAAATCCCAGAGACTCTATCTCAAAAATAACCAGCAAAAAAACATGGGGGGAGGAGTGGCTCAAATGGTAGAGTGACAGCCTAACAAACACAAGGCTCTCAGTTCAAACCCCGGTTTAAAAAGGAAAAAAAGAAACAAAGCTATGGCTGGGGATGGTGGTGTGTAGCTGTAATCTCAGCAACTAGCAAGTCAGAAATCAGGGGATTGTGGTTTGAGGGAAGCCTAATGGTGCTGGGATTAGCATGGTTTTCAAACATCAGCAAGATAAACTGGACATGGTGGTGTCCACCTCAAATTCCAGCTATTGGGGAGGCTGAAGGTCCGAAGCCAGACATGGGAA